CAGCTTTTTGACCTGAGATGATACAGTCACAGCTGTAGTAACCAGTTCCTCAAAGACTCTCATTGTAACTCAAATTTCTTTTCAGTCCTTTCATTAAAAGGTTTTCTGGCTGTTCTTATCTAAATGCCTTAAAAATTAGTACGGCTCTTCCAAGCTAAGGAAAATGTATGCATTATTAAATCTGGATGTTTCAGAACAGTTCATTTGGACTTTTGCCTGCAAATCACTACTAGTCTGGCAGTAAAATAAAATTATTTACATATAGATGAGTTCTTGGTCTTTTCGTATACCATACAGAGACTCAAGATTGTGAAAAAAACCAAGGTACGACTGAATCGGGCTTTGAGTCTGAGTCAATATTAGAGCATACTGGGAGGAACTGCAGTCCAAACGTGCATTTTTACCCATCGTGCTTTGCTTAAATTCCGAACAATATTGCACTGGAGCTTTACAAAAATTATTTCATACTGACAGAAATTTCAGATACTGATGTTTAGATAATCAGTATTATTTTTACAAAAACTTCGAAATTCCCAGTGATATAACATTTTTTCAATTTCAAAAGGGAAGTTTTATACTACAATATTATTTAAAATGTAAAAATGTCCATAGAAGTTGATGGAGTGCTTAGCAAAAGCATCTTTAAAAATAACTCTGGAATATTAAACAAAATGGCTACCCTGGGCAAACAGTTTGTTCAGTTATCTGAAGATACTAACAATCAATCAATCAGGAGTCTCAAAACATGCACCTAAACCTACCTAAATCTAATAAGCATTAGAACTGCCTTCCCAATATTGGCTTTGTTTAAATATCAGAAAGCCATTAAGGTGGTACAGGAACAGAAATATGATGAAACTAATTTTGTTTGCAAGTTCCATGGGAACACAACAGAACAAAACCTCCAAAGAAAAACTAAGCAAGAAATTAGAAGTCAGCTGGAAAAATACTGCAGTGGAAGCTCACCGACCTTCCCTTGCTTGGCAGGGTTTTTTCCCCTTAAGCTTGTTCCAAAGACACAGTAACACTGGAAGCCTGACCATACTTTCTTATACATTCATCTAAGTATACTTTCTCATGAAAATAATGAAACAATACTTCAAGACTGTGCTATAAATTGGGAATACCCATAAAGGACATACTCTCTATTGCTACTACCAAGTTCAGGACATTGGGTAGTACCTAAGTCGTGAAAATTAAAGCATTCTGAAGGAAAGGAAAAACAACAGTCTCCTGATAATGAGGAGGAATTCAAAAAGAAACTATATACCGAAACTGAAGAAAGAAATTTGCAGACATTCAATTTTACCTTGCTTCCTGCTTCCACAGCAATGTAATCTCCCCTCAAAACCCATAAAGACCAAGCTACTGGACTCTCAAAAGTCTCACATCCCATCTCAGAACAGATTCATAAAATTACCTTCATTAAATATCAGTGTGACTAGATCGGGATTTTTCCACAGTTCTGAGATACACATTTGTTTCTAACCTTGTATTTGTCTTCCTCTGTTCCCCTGCCTTTCTGCGTTCTTTACTGATTCTTGCTGCAAATCAGCTTTTGCCCTGAGGTATGTAATTTCCTCCTAAAGATTTCTACATTTACAGATGAGCTATTTAAATAGGTAAGTCATTGTTATATTTCAGATGTACATTAAAATTAACCAGTACCTTACAAAACGAAAGGTTTATCCTTTCGAGCATTATTTTTCTTCCCCTAGTTACTATCTTGGGAAATGCCTGGGATCAGTTCATAAGACTATAAGCAGTGCATAATAAACTAAAAAATACTATATAAAGCACATCGAGATTTCTCAGAATGGCATATTTAAAACATATTTGAAATCATTATCATTGAATTTTCCTTTACAGAAATTGTGGGATTTTTTTGTTTGTGTTGGAAAAATCTTACCTCATGAAAAAGTAAACATAATGAGTGCAGCAGATAACACAAATCAAGATTTACTCTCCAGAACTTTGTTCCCCCCCACCAGAAGTAATACATAGAACAAATTCATTAATAGCAACATGCATCCTGTAAACTGTGTTATTAGCCTAGCTCTTACATGACTTTGAACAAATAAGAAACGCCAAACTACAAAGAGCTTCTTCATCTCAAGAATGCCTGTTCATCCTAGCATTAACACAGGAGACATTAATTTCACTTTCTGCCAAAATGATCTTAATTCAATTAACAGATCATCTGCTAAACATGTTACCCCCCAACAAAATCAAAGTTTTAAAATTCTTTATTCTACATAAATCTTTTCTAAAAGAAAGAAAAAGACTTCATGACAATGGAGCCTATTTGCTGTTATAATTATGATTAGAAATTCAGATATCAGCTGTTATAGGATTCTGTGTGGTGCCTGGAGAAACATTTCCTCTGTGACAGTAAAAGAGACTAAAAGTTGAACAATTAAAAGAGGAAGAATTTTTAGTGAAGATTCTTTGAAGTGTTTTGGCTCTGGTTAACACCTTTTAAGATCAAAGCCTAAATAACACTCAGCAGAAGACTCCTCATTCTTAGTTGTTAAGCACCCTCCCATTAAAGGTCTAGGACAAAAATTCATTTAAAAAGACAAAAAAAACAAAAACCCAAACAATACAAATCCCCAAACCTAACACACTGCCATGAAGGCAGCAAAATTTATCTACAGAGGACAAGCCCAGATGGAAAGAAAAGATGGCAAAGCAAAGCAGAGAGGCACATGAGCTGTGAGGAACTCAAAAGAAGGACTGAATCTTTCTGAAATCCTTTAAATTATTGGCTTTCCCTAATAAACTGAGATGTTGGCTGCTCAATGCTCTTTTCTGCACTTTCAAATTAAGTGTCCTGCTTCATGCTTTTTGTTATAATGCTGCATGCAACAGCAGAATAGACTTGTATTATTGTTATCTCCAGGGATTCCCCACGAAAATGAGTCGTATATCTCAAGAGACTGTCAGAGTGAGTTAAAATTAAAATAAATAATTAAATAAGATGAGGCGGCAAAGTTCCACCAGCATTGCTGAAAACCATCAGAGCAGAGGAGTTACGGCTTAGTGTGGCAGCAAGTGTCTATAATGAATTCCCTGGAAACCAGTATAAGCAGAGTGATGCAAAATGAGAATGCTTCACCATCATGAAGAGATACATCCTTTGCTGAGGAGCAATTATGGCAGTACAGAAAGAGAGTCTTATCCTGAATCTCAGTCTCCTCCATCTCCATAATCAAACTGACCACACATTTGAATTCATTTGAATGATTCAGTTTTGCAATGCACATTAAACGCGGCTCTGCACATCTTTTGTCACATCCCTCAGGGACCCTTTTTAGTCCCATGGTGATAGAACAACAATTAGTTATGGAACTTGTAATAAACTGCATTTCTGATACACTTTTTGACTTCCTCCTCTGCCCTCTGCCCTCTAGACTTCTCCCTGTCAGAATGAATTCTTCCATTATAAAAATTTGACCATCTTCAAACCAACATCATTATTCATATGAATAATCAGCCAGGAAAATATTTCTTCTTTCTGTATTCCCAATGCTTATTCTATTGCTAATGGTACGTGTTTCTGCACTGCAGAGATAATAGTGTATTGGCCTGAAGACCAAGGACAGAATATTGGGCTAATATTAGAATGAGAAATGGAATATTATTTTTTTTTTTGTTTTATCCTTCTGAAGAACAGGCTGACAGATTGCCAGAAGAATATATAGTATTCCAAAGGACCTGTAGTAATTCACAAAAAAAAAAAAAAAAAAAAAAAAAAAGTGAAATTTCTAAGTAGGTAGAGGGAAGAAAGGTTTCATCCAGAGTTGATCTCTGCTCTCCTTTCCCAAGACTGGTAGAGCTGAGCTATTATTATTATGGGATTTCACATGAAAAGATAGATAAAGCATGAAGTTTTTCTCAGCCTATGCGATACAAACACAATATATAACCATCAAGGCTTCATAATAAACAAAGCTTTCTGATGATAGCTGATTTAACAGAAACTGTTAAAACTGGTTTGGAAAGTATTTATAAACAGTATTAAATGTCATCTTGTCACCCTGTGTGTAAAATGCAGTACCTTGTTTACGTCTATGAGACTAAAAACAAATATGTAATTATATTAAATGCCTTTAAAAGGGTTTAACAGTAATTCCAGTAACAACAAATGTTTTGACGCTATAGTTCTATAGTGTTAGACCTTAGAAAAAACTCAAGGAAGGAAAAAGAAATGCCCTTTTTCCTTTTCTTCTCTCCCCTTGTATCCTACCACCCCAAAGAAAGGAACAGTCGTACCAAAAGCCCATGACGAAACAAAAACCAGCAGCTGCGTCCTATCTGATGCTGTGATATTATTTAAGGAAAGGGACAGCACACATTTTGGAGCATTCTAAAAAACACCTTACACAAATCCTGCATTTGGGAAAGCAAGCTGGTCCTCAGGAGAGGAAATTATAATACTACATCATGGAAATACGACTTGATAGCACACATACGTGCCCTAACTTTTTTACACGTAACATGTTTTACATGTCCTAATGTTACAATTAGGTATACAAAATCAGGATGTTGCCCAGGAATTAACATATTACTCTTCCCACTTGATTTTTCAAAGATAACAGTAGAGTTTGATTGTAGAGTTTGCATTTAAATCATTTAAAATTCCAATTATTTCAGATAGTAAAGTATGATTAATTTTTCAGTGGTATCCTGACTGACACACATAGGTCAAACAATCCCAGCTCATGAGAATCTCTTCCCCCTACTGGCTCAGACCTTCATCAAGACAACATTAGAAGCTTGAAATCAATCCACCCTCTGTATCACAAGGGATCTCTTCCTAATTGCTCATATTCCAGGACAGTTTTTAAAGTCTCTTTTTCTCTCTCCCATTTTACCTCCATTACATATTAAATATGAAAAAGACCACAAGGTGTACAGTTA